CACCTACCACAACCTAGAGGATAAATGATTGAAAAGTTTGTGTGTTTATCACGACTTAGAGGATAAACAACACGAGGGTAGTTTTACGCACTTATCACGACCTAGAGAATAACTAACGTAATCTTATAATTTGCGTATATACCACAACCTAGAGGATAGATAGCTGAAGAGTGTTTTGGTAATCAAATCTTATATAGATAGACCAAAGATAAGATCATAGTTTTATTAGTTGTGTCTATTCTCAACCAAGATATTTTCCTTGTTTTATGGACCAGATGATCCAATTATGAGCCCCAATAAAGTTCGTAGTTTTAACTAAAGATGTGTTAGAAATGCCATGCATAATTCTCTAAGATGACATGGAACCCAAAATGTATATGCATCGAGTATTTTATATATGCCCCAAATGTAATGTTTATATATGCACCAAATGTTTGTTGTGAATTTTTTTAATGTTCTCTCCTTTTAAACTAGAGGTTCTGTGTCACCAACTCTCCAACGTTGTATGTTATATTGTCGTCGCATTTTGAATTGATTTGAATAAGATGAATGGTGTAGCGGGATTTTGATATTTGTATCGTAGGCACAGACGTAGACGTAGTTATAGACATAGGCGTGGATATGGCTATGATGGCAGAAGTGAACGTAGACATGGATTTTCTTTCGATGTTTTTCTAACCAAAATGCTTTTTGATGTTATATCAAATGCTTTTATTTTTAAAATCCTAAAATTGATTTCAACATAACATTCACAAATAATAGTCATAGTATATTTGAAAACAAGTTCGAAAAGGAAAAACACAATTGAATGATTCAAAAATTAAATGTTTATTGATAAATATGCCTCTGAATAGGCGAGAGTACAAGATGCAATTCCTTAAAATAGGTAATTATAGAAAGTTTTGAAACTGAAAATGACAATGAAAATGATAATTGCTACTACTATTTCTCCAATGTCTTTTTGATAGCTCCAATCTCCTTTGCTTATGAGTCAAATGATTTGGACCAATCTCTCTCATTCGTGGTCGTATTCGTGGTTCTTAGATCGCATTCTTTTTGTTCTTTATTTCTGAGTAAGATCCCTAACTTTTTCCTAGACCGCTCTTTCGGGTTTTCAATCCACAAGGATATTTTTTTTGTCTTTGTCCCTAATTTTTGCATGGATTGCCCTTTAGGGTTTTCAATCCACCGAGACGCTCCTTTTTGCCTAAGTCGTCCGTTTAGGGTTCAAACTTAGCGAGCTTTTTATACATAGTATTTTTTTGATTGCGTCTGAATTTGCTGGATGTGGCAGTTCTTCTCCATCCATTGTTGTGAGGACAAGACCACCACCCGAGAATGTTGTTTTTACCACGTACGATCCTTCATAGTTGGGTGTCCATTTACGACGTGAGTCAAGGGGAGATAGTAGAATCTTCTTGAGCACCAAATCCCCTTCTTTGAACACTCGAGGACGAACCTTTTTGTCAAATGCTTTCTTCATTCGCTTTTGGTATAATTGACCATGGCACAAAGCTGTCAAACATTTTTATTCAATGAGGTTAAGCTGATTAAGTTGCGTCTGAACCCACTTTACTTCTTCAAGCTTTGTTTCCATTAGAACCCGTAGGGATGAAATCTCTACTTCAACATGGAGTACTGCTTCTATGCCATATATCAGATAGAAAGGAGTTGCTCCTATTGACGTACGTACGGAAGTCCGATAGCCATGTAGAGAGAAGGAAAGCATTTTGTGTGCCAATCTTTGTATGCCTTCACCATTTTCTGAATGATTTTTTTGATATTCTTATTGGCAGCTTCAACGGTCATGTTCATTTTGGGTCGATATGATGAGGAATCGTGATGCATGATTGTCACTTTTCTATTTATATCTCATGGTAAAATATTAACTCACGAAAAAAATATATAATGCTCTTTATAAAATTTATAACATATATGTAATTAATTCCTATAAATTTTATCTTGACTTATCAGTAAAATTTTATGTTAGTACTTTTATTTTTTGCTTCTAAATTAAATGATATGCACCTTTGACTTTTTTTATTAATAATTTTGTATATTTAGAATATTATAAATATCTATTAAAAAAATTAGAATTTTAATTAACTTATAAAACCTATATGAATTTTTAAGTGCTGAAATCTTCAGAAAAGAAAATAACCAAAATCTAGACCTTTAAATCAAATTTTAACCTCAATTTGTGCAAAATCCTCTATCATATATTTTGATAAACTCTCAATATATTTTGATTTTAAAGGGACTAAAACTCTTGAGAGAAATATTGCATGGACTAAAAGTTGGAAAAATGTTTTATCATGATTAAAAAAGAAATTTTACTTTTATAAAAACTAACCAAGTTTTTTATTTATTTTTCTTACAATTAACTAACTATTTGTTTAACCCTATATATAAACATATATAATTATGTAAAAACTGCTTTTATTTTATTTTATTCATTTACACAATAAAAATATATATTTTACAACATCATAATTATAATATCTCTTATAATATCAACCTTTATTCATAATTAATTTAAAAGTTAATCTTTAATTAAAAAATGATATTAACAATGTATCAATATAAAAGTATTTTTGAGTTATTATTATAATGCTCAATTTCTGCACAATCCCCTTTTATTTTTTGCTTCTAAATTAACTGATCTGCACCTTTGACTTTTTTTAATTAATTTTATATATTTAGAATATTATAAACATTTATTACAAAAATTAGAATTTTAATTATTTCCTCCGTTTCTTTTTAAGTGTCATTTTAGCATAAAACTCTTCAACCAATATAGTAGATTATTAGAGTTATTTTTCCTATTATACCCTCATTTATTTTCTGTTTCCAAATAAATTCAATCATATACCATCTCTCTTTTTCCAATAAATAATTGAGAAAATAATTAATTTTATGGAAAATGTGAAGTGGACTTATTGAGAAAGTAGGGATATAATTGACAAATGATAACATTAAATTATAAAAACGACACTTAAATAGAAACAAAAAAATTCTTTTAAAACGACATTTAAAAAGGAACGGAGGGAGTAACTTATAAAACCTATATGAATTTTTAAGTGCTGAAAACTTCAGAAAAGATAATAACCAAAATCTAGACCTTTAAATCAAATTTTAACCTCAATTTGTGCAAAATCCTCTATCATATATTTTGATAAACTCTCAATATATTTTGATTTTAAAGGGAATAAAACTCTTGAGAGAAATATTTCATGGACTAAAAGTTGAAAAAATGTTTTATCATGATTAAAAAATAAGTTTTACTTTTATAAAAACTAACCAAGTTTTTATTTTTTTTCTTACAATTAACTAACTATTTGTTTAACCCTATATATAAACATATATAATTATGTAACAACTGCTTTTATTTTATTTTATTCATTTACACAATAAAAATATATATATTACAACAACTAATTATAATATCTCTTATAATATCAACCTCTATTCATAATTAATTTAAAAGTTAATCTTTAATTAAAAAATAATATTAACAATGTATCAATATAAAAGTATTTTTGAGTTATTATTATAATGCTCAATTTGCACACTCCTAATTTACCATAACATCAACTTATATTTTTTGGCTGGTGCGCGGGCTCACATGACAGGAAACGACATGTTTTGTAACCCCTAGTGGCAATTCCATGTCATTAAATTTGGTGATTGAGTTTGTGGTTTTTTACTGGGAGTTTTCAAAAAATGGTCAATTTGATGGTGGAAAATATGTATTAACTCTATATAAATTATACTTATAAAGTATGATAGTATTACTATAAATTAGTCTCAATGAATTTTTAATTTAAAAAAAGAAAAAATCCAAATAGGAGAATGTTTTTGGAAGGAGAAATCTCGAGTTTTTTGGCATCTGGAAGGGGATAGTGACACATCCTTTTTCATAGGAAGGTCAAATTCAAAGGTTCAAGGACCTGGTCACTTTTCTCAAGGATGGGGATTGTGTCATAATTTATCCTAAGGGCACCTCAAACCATGTTGTAACTTATTTCAGTAATATTTTCTCTCATGTAGATGCAGGTCAAGATTCATCAATAAATAAGGAGAAAATTCCTATTTTGATGGCTGATAATATGAACAACCTATTAAAATCTACCCCTTTCATAGAAGAGATTCATGATGCAGTGCTCAATCTGAATAAGGACAATTTACTTGACCCTGATGGCTTTGTGTGGAATATGGCTCATAATGTTGGGATAATTATGGGCTGGTTAGATAAATATGGATTATTTAGAGTATAACTCAAATTATAGAGATAATTATGGTTTATTGATAGGTTGTTGAGAGTATAGCGCATACCGTTGAGACAATTATGGATAGAGATAATTGTTTGTTGAGGGAAACTAGGGATTCGGGTTTTAGATAAACTACATTCAAATTGGAAAAATCATCAAAACAAATAAGTGACATCATATGATACTGTGACTACACTTTCACCCCCCTTTTCAATGTTTGGAAATTTAGAGATATTGTTGTTGATCAATTGTTCAAAGCGTTATTTGTAATTTGATGGATGAAATGAATCTGGTGAACTAGTGTACATTTCTTCGCTTGTGTTGTTAAAGTTGAAAAGCTTCCCCTGCATTAAACACTTAATTCCCATGAATACTTCTACCCCTTTGACAAATATCAAAAAAGAGAGAAAAGTTAAAGAGAAAGAACACGCAAATAGCTTAATCCAAGATAAAATAAAAGCCAAAAATAGAATGTCATACTTAGTGAACTAAACAAACACCATATAAATCTCATACGAAACTAATTATTGCAAATACACAATTTAATAAAGATACCAAGAAACATAACATATAGAGGATCACATAGATATCATACATACGTTACTAAAAAGACTTGCCACATGATACCTAATCCAAAATTTAGTCAAAGATAACAAAATAACCAGCCAACCAAAATGACATAAATATCTAGATAATGCTAATGCTATGCATGAAAAACTAAAATAAAAATCATGCAATGTCAGTTGCATCATCAGAAGGTGGTACAACAATAGTGACATCTGGAACGGGAACAGTGGTATTTGTATCAATATCAGAAGGACCAATATCAAGGATAACACTAGTTCTACCCAGGTAGTCAACAGTAATTCTAATAGATTCCACTTGACAAGTCACTCGAGCTTCAGAAGCTCGTATCTCAGCCTTTATCTCAACCTTCAAATCACTCTTCAGCTTTACCCAACTTTCTTCACTTTCATTGGCTAGATTGTCAATTCGTTCCATGATCTACTCTTTCCTAACCTGGTTGTCAGCCAAAATCATTTTGACCAACTCATCAAGATAGGATTTCAAATTAGCAGATAGAAAACCATAAGAGGATCTAGTAGGCTCATTAGAGGGGTCCTTTGTCAGCTCCTTGTCATCATAAACATTTCGGCCAGATTCCTCAAGGTAGTAATAGTCACCATAAAAGTCTTTGTAGTACCTCATTTTAGAAACTCCACAGTAATTCAAAATTTTAGGAACCTTGGTCAAGTCTTCTTCTTTGGAAACAATCCCATTAACCTCAAGGATCGATTACACAAAAGAAGAGAAAAACAATGGTCTCTTTGGATTCTCCCTGCAATGAATCATTCGGTTAATAATAAACTTCTCCTTATCAAATCCACTATCTAGAAGAAGCACCCACATCAAGTAGAGGTCATTGTCATCAGCTCTCTTAGGTTTCTTATAGAATATCTTGACAATAATCCAATGTAGAATTAACATATAAAACTTGACTTGAATGATGCCAAATTTTGACATGACAAGATTATCACAAATAGACTTGGAAATAGATAAAATAAACTGAACTCTATCATACTCAGATAGTCTAGAAGAAAATACACTTAGATTAGTAGAAGTCAAACAAAGGTACCTAGTTAATCCATGTAATTAAACCTAATAACCTTATCCTTGAACCTATTTTCAATTCCATCAGGGGATTACACAAGATTACAATAGAAAGCTTTCACATAATCAAGGTTATACTTTTTTTTCAACCCAATAAACTTCAACAATTTATGATTAGCAAACAGTTTCACAAAATTTTCCTTCAGTTCAACTTTAACAGAGGCATCAACATAATACTCAATATCAACTGGCTTATTCGTAAGTTTCTCTTGATAAAGTTGAAAAATATCCTCAGGAAGAAGGTGCTTTACCTTATGACATAGAGCATCAGTAGTTTGAGACTTAAAGGATTTCTTCTTCGTAACCCTTGCATCAGGAGAATCCTTGGTTGCTCGAACTTTTGTCCTCGCCTTCTTTGGAAATTGAGGAGGAGAAGGAGAGTTTGATGATGCCATTGGTCTCTTACCATGTTGTTTGTCATAGAAGTTCTTCTAAGGAAGTTGAGAGGCCATTGATATTGAGGAAGATCAATAATCACGTCTCTAACATAGAACAACAACAACATTGCACACATTGCACAAGTTAGTGATTTGTTAGTTAGATGTTTTTAAATATATTAAAAATATTTTTATGCATGAGGAAAAATAATTTTAATGCAATTAGAAATATTTAAACGGGTTAGCATTTAAAAAAGAAAAAAGATTTGAATTAATAAAATAAATAAACTTAAAATTTATTATAAATATATTAATAAAATAAAAACAGGAAAAATATAAATAAATGAATAAATTAAATTAAAGTTATGAAAAATAAATTAATTTTAATTAATTACGCAAGGGGGTGTATTTTCAGTTTGTTAATAAAAGGCTAGGGGTGTAAATAACATGGCCCTAAATTTAGATATTGAGTTTATTCCCAAAACGCAGGGGGTGTAGTCTTGAACGTGGTAGCAAAATTGGGGTGTTGGTTTATCAAGGGGCCCAAGTTCAGATATTGAACTGGGCCCAATAGCACAGAGGGGTACAATTTTTTTGTTGAGGAAGTAATTTGAGGGTGCTAAAAGAAAAGGGCCTGGCCCAAAACAAATGTTGATCTGTTAGACAAAGTGTAGGCGAGTGTTGAGGGTTATGGTGGTTGCGCGCCTTAGGGACGTCTGATGATGATCAAAGGATTTGGGAGTAAGGGTGCACGATAGGAGTGGCGTACCGGAACAGAGAGTATTTATAAAACATACTTCTGGGCTTGAGGTCCATTTTATCTTCTCCTTTTCTCTCTCTCTCTCTCTCTCTCTCTCTCTCTCTCTCTCTCTCTCCACAAAGCAAAAAAAATAGTTGTTGGAGGTTAGAGAGAGAAGCTCCAGCTTCTCTCTAGATTTTCGTCACCGGAAATCGCCTTTGCCATGAGCGACACCGGCCAGAGATCGCTTCCGTCGGCGGCTGCGCCAAGGCGCCACCATCTTAAAACCCAACCACCTCCTGGGTTCATATGAACCCTAAGAACCCTGAGGGTTCGTGAAGAATCCTTATCAAACCAAAACCCATAAACCACTAACGTTTAAACCTTAACCCTAAGCTAAGTGAATCGGCTTACCTCCCCTGCAATGATTCTTCTTGTATTCGTCCCTTTCTGGTTCTTCGATTCTCCCTTCTTATCTTCTTCTCATTCTTTTCTCTTTGACATGTCTTTGAGATGATGGTGTGTGATGGTGGCGATGGCTTGAAGTACACATCTAGGGTTTCAAAAATTGAAACCCATATCTCAAGAAGACGGTTGACTCGTGAATTGCTTCTTCTATTTTATAATTCTTTCTCCTCAAATTTGTTCTTCTCAAATTTTTTTTCTTCAATTAGTTTTTAGGTCTTTATATAGGTTAGAATTAAGAATAAATTAGGAAACTATATTGGCTTGTCGTTACAATTTGTTTATTAGGGATTTAGAGATTTGATTATGATAGAATATTAGAGAATATTTGATTTTGTTTTTAGGTTGTAATTGATATTGGACGATTGTATAAAGACTTGCAATTTTTGATTTGATTATGTGAAGATTAGATTTAATATGTATATAAATTTATTCGATTGGATTTGTTTCAGTTTTGATGCGTTTTTCTTTGTTTGAATATGTACAGAAGTCGTTTTTGATAGTGGGAACAGGGCACCGCTTGGGTTTGGGAATTAGGGTTCCAACCCTAACTTTGATTTTGACTTAGTCAACATGTTTTTAAAAATAAAATAATATCTGATTTTTTTTATAAAAATAATTATTTGATATATTAAACAATAATCAGACAATAATAACAACTATAATGCCAAAAAACAATGGGCTCTAGTGTTAAGAAGGAAAATGTGCCAGCAATTTAATGGACCTACCAAAAAAAAGAAGCAACAAATTCTTAAAAAAAACACATACCTTTTAATGTAATGGGCCAATGAATAAAAAACCTCAATCCTCTTTCTTATTTTACCAAAACACAACCTTTTAATGGACCGAGTGATAAGGTGGCAGAACTGACTGTTTATACTGGTTTGCGTTTTTTGTTTGCAAAATGTCGCGGTAAGCAAGAGTCGCCACCGACTTTTATTTTATCCAACAAAGGAAAAGGAAAAATAACAGAAAAAACCTTTTTCGAGATGTTTCTGAGTACGGGGGGTAGATTATAGAAAGGGAAGGTGTTAACACCCTTTCTATCCATGGTTTTCCATGGACTCTTAGGTACTTGCTTATCTTTTAAAATTGCTTGTGTGTGTTTGTTTTGAAAAGTTTTGTTTTACTTCGTTTTAACCCTTGTTTCTGTCCTCAAGAGTGTTACACAGTTGTTTTTGAAAACTTTGTTTGAAAAGTGTTTGTGTGAAAAATATTTGTTGTTTTGAGCAAGTACCTAACAATTATCTACCTACTCGAAAAAAGGCATTCTTTTCCGCCTATCCTTTAGACCGTGTTATCCTACTATTAGTGAGTAGGTAGTACCGTTGTTGGAGTTGAGGGACTATCGAAAGGGATGTAATGGTCATTGAAGGAAACATGTAAGGATACCTTAGAATTTCAAAGGGACTATCATCATATATTCGTAGGCAACATCGAGGGACAAGATCATTTTCTCGTAGGCAACTCGAGGGACAATAAGGGACTATGATCTTTATGATGACTTTTAAATTGAGGGTCTTTTGCTAAGATATCCCTACGTTCGAGGGACATGACCATTATTTTCCGAGGCAACCAAGTGAGGAGTATCCTAGGAGTGAGCATGTGCATGTGTTTGATTTCAGTTATTTAATCTTTGCACAATTAAGGTGATCTACTGTTTTAATTTTCAGTTTGTCTTTCCATACAATCCTATTAACATACATCTAAGCAGTTTATAGTTTGCGAAAATAAAATGCAGAAAGTTTAAAGTCCTAGCTATTACAAGGCTTTTGCAGATACATAATCATTTTGGACTGAAAATAAAAATGCGGAATTTAAATCCTAATTACTATTACAACCTCGGAGCCGTTACATAATTAGAAAAAAATGCGAGAAAAGATAAATCTACGCTATTACATTGATAATGCGACCTATACAATTTTTTTAGAAATTAAAATGTAAAAGAATAAATAAAAAGAAATTAAGGAAAAATTAAAACTTAAAATTCTAAGTTAATGTTTTTGGTGATTTTTTTATGAAAAAGTGATTTATGATAATTAATTAAATAAACCTAAAAAACTTAATTAATTTTAATTAGTAAAAAATGTTAATTTTGAAAAAAAGTTAATTAAAATACCTAAATCCTAATTGGTTTGAATTAAAAAGAAAGGTTAGTTTTGAAAGAAAAAAAGGTTAATTAAAAACCTAAAACCTAATTAATTTGAATTAAAAAAAGGTTTAAAAAAAGTTTATGTCTAATGATTAATAAAAAAGATTAAGTTTGCCAAAAAATAGATCGGGGAAGAAACATCAATGAAAAATAGGGTTAGATAATAAAAATAATGCAAATGTCATGGGTGATTGTTGAACCAAAAATTAATTTAAAACCTAAAATTAAATTAAAAAAAGACCTAAAATTAATTATTTGAGTTTAGGAGGAAAAATCAAAGGTTTGTGAAAAATGTTAAGTTTTATGAAGAAAAAAAGTTTTAAACAGATGGTTGCCTTAACCTCCTCAGGATGTATGCCTCGCCATGCATTGGTGGTTGTTCTATTTTGGTCATTAATGTTTTGGCCTCAACGTTCTGTAATGAACCTACATGGGATCTTGTCTAAATCTGCAGTGTTGAATCTCATGAACACATTAAATAAAAAAATTTAATGTTAAAACCGATATGGTATGTATGAATGATTATACCTTTTTGATCATGGAGATCAAACCAGCCTTACCCTTACTGGAGAAGTAGTGAGATGAATGCTTTTATGCCCTTTTGATCATGGAGATCAAACCAGCCTTGCCCTTAGTGGAGATGTAGTGAGATGTGGGTTTGTAATAAGGATGGCTTATTTGTAGTAAGATGGGGATTTGTAATAAGGATTTAAAGGTTTTAGGGTTCTTGAAAGAATTTGATATTTTGACAGGATTGTGGCAAATGTTTTTTTTCTCCCCATCCGTTGTGTGAAAAGAATGTGATTATATAATGGAAATTAGAGCAAAGATATGGGCTTTGAATGTGCAATTGAGCCTCCAATGTTCACTTGAGTCCATCATATTCCAGGCTAAATCGTCGGGGCTTAAGTGAAATTTTTGAAGTTGAAATGTGAAAACAAAATGTAGCCGACATCGAGAACTAACTCCTATCCGAAAATGAGCTCAATCGGATAAACAGTGAATTAGTTATGAATTTTTGAAGTTTCAGCTCAGACAAACTTATTTTGGGCTCCAGTGTCGACTCTGACACGTTCTTCAATAAAAAACTGGTATTGGTCGGAGCATAATCCTGTCTCTACTTTTGAAGAAAAGTTGTATATCTCTGAGTCAGTGACCTTGTGTAAAAATATGGGTCCGATCCGATAAAAATTGACCGAGTTATGAATTTTCGAAGTTTCGACCCAGATGAAATAATATTCAGCATTCAGGATTTTCGACGCGTCACATGCACTCTGAGCAAAAAACGAAGGCCTTTTGAAAACTTAGCCAACTCAATTTTTGAAATTTTGGCGCCGGAACCAGCTCGATACGATAAAAATCGACTAAGTTATGATTTTCTGAACATGACGCAAATAAACATCTGTCACAAATTTTCTGTACAAAAATACTTGATAAATCCACATTTTTGAAGACCTTATGATCGAAATTGGCTTCCATCCGTGAGAGATGAAAACGTAGATGACGTCAAGACGGAATTTTGGCCACCGGAACAGGTTCAAAACGAGCCATGATCTTCAAGTTATGAATTTTTAGCGCGTAAAAACTTCACTTTCAGCACATTTTTTCACCATATTTCTTCGAGAAAACTCACACATTTGGATACCTTCTTAAAAGAATTGA